CCCAAGCTGTACATACACCCCAGCTGCCCCCAGCAGCCGCAGCTGCAGCAGCAGCAGCAGCAGCAGCGAAGGAGACGCGCCTCTCGCCCTCCCGCAAGCAGCACGCGAAGAAAACGGAGCAGCAGCACAGCAGCAGTCAAACTGACAAGGCCAAGAGGGGCCCTGCGTGGGGTAGAGAGGCAGCAGCAGCAGCAGATGCTGCTGCTGCTGCCTCTCTACCCCACGCAGGGCCCCTCTTGGCCTTGTCAGTTTGACTGCTGCTGTGCTGCTGCTCCGTTTTCTTCGCGTGCTGCTTGCGGGAGGGCGCGAGGCGCGTCTCCTTCGCTGCTGCTGCTGCTGCTGCTGCTGCTGCGGCTGCTGGGGGCAGCTGGGGTGTATGTACAGCTTGGGCGACGATGTGGCGCTTGAGGTCTTTGATGATCTTCTCCAGAAATAAAATATAACTGCGGCAGCGCTGCAGCAGCTCTCTTTGCTGCTGCACTTTGCTGACAAACTTGTCCCGCTCAGTGGCCATGCACTCCAGCTGCTGCAGCAGCAGCAGCAGCTCCTTCTCCTTTTGCTGCAGCACTTCTTTTCCCTTTTGCTGCTGCGCCTCCGCCAGCCGCCACGCGCGCCGCAGCCGACTCAGCTCCAGCTGAGCAAGCAGCAAAAGTTTGCCTTCTTGTAATCCATTTCAAACCATTTTAATTGATTTTAAATCATTTTATGCCATTTTAATTCATTTTAAACCATTTTAAACCGTTTTAATTCATTTTAAGCCATTTAAACTCACTTTAGACCATTTTATGCCATTTTAATTCATTTTAAACCATTTTAAACCAGTTTAAACCAGTTTAATTCATTTTAAACCCTTTTAAACCATTTGAAACCACTTTAATTCATTTAAATTAATTTTAATTCATCCACTTTGTTTCATTTTAAACACACTCAGCGGTGTCTGTACACGAGAACAAACCCGAAATCCCCTCAGCTGCCGTGCGCCAAACCCTAGACCCTAAACCCTAAACCCTAATTGCTGGTTACTCGCTGCTAACGCCAGCCGTAACTGTAAACCCTAAACCCTAAGAACTAAACCCTGAAGACCGCCTGCTCACTGCTTGTTGTCTGCCACAACTCTACCCCCTAAACCTCAAACCCCAAACCCTAAACCCTAAACCCTAAACCCTAGCCCCCCGTGTCTGACTTGGGCCTCAGTCTTGTCTGCCCTCAAGTCGGCGTTTAGTTTTCTTTCGGCGGTGATTTCTGTCTCGAGTTTTTCTTTGAGGATTTCGACTTGTTGGATTCTGCTGTCTTCTTCGCCTCTTGCTGCTGCTGCTGCTGCTGCTGCGCCGAACTTGGCTGCTGCTGCTGCGCAGGCAGCGCGCTGCTGCTGCTGCTGCTGCAGCTCCCCCTTCAGGCGGCCGCACTCCTCCCTGAGCTGCTGCAGCTGAGAAGCAGCAAAGTGGCAGCAGTTTCGAGAAAGAAGTGCAGCTAATTGGATTGAAAAAGAGAACATTTGTCTGCAAACAATTTTTAAAACAAAATATTCAACTTCTGCTTTTTTATTTAAGTTTCGTTCAAGTCGGCTGCAGCTGCTGCAGCAGCAGATCACCTCTTTCCTGGCGCTCGCCTGCTGGGCCCTCAGAAGTTGAATTTCACTTTTTGCAGTTTCATTTTCTTTTATTTCTCTTTTTATTTCTTCTTTTCGCATTTTTAAAAGCCTTTGCAACTCCGAAACATCCTCGGAAACGAAGTCTTCCGATTCCGCTTCCTCCGCAGTGCCTCCCATCGCCAGAGCTGTACGTACACCCGAACGCGCCGTGTCGTTCAAATTCAACTTTTCGTTTTCAACACTTTCAGAACCGTTTTAAATGCTTTTCAGATCTTTGTTCAAAAACGTTAATTTAAACTCATTAATATACTTTTAGGAGAGCATTCAAAGATATTCTAAACGCCAGACAGGCGCATGCATCTGTTTATATGCTGCATGCAAATATGCACGCATAAATTGATATAATTCTATATTTTTCGGTATATATATATTTATTAATGTTAATAACTGCATGCAAATATATGCACACAAATAAACATATATATATATTTATGTACATATTTATTTATTTATATTAACAATGCATATTTCTCCACATATTCGCCTACTGGGCCTTGAGGCTGTTGGCGTTTGCGCATGAATTCAAAAGCCTTTTAGGTCTACTCAGCGTCTGCTGCTGCGGAGGACCTGCAGCAGCAGCAGCAGCAGCAGCAGCAGCAGCAGCAGCAGGTGGGCGAGCTCACTAGTGTAGGCCTCGTCACTCAAGCAGCTGCTCATTTGGTTGATCTCTCTGAGCAGCTGCAGCTCCTTTTCCTGTTCCTTCAGCTTCTGCCGCAGTCTCCCCACTTCCCTTTCCACTTCCGCCCTGCTGCTGCTGCTGCTGCTGGGGCCTGCTGCTGCTGCGGTGTACGTACACCCCAGCGAGTCCCCCGCCCGCGCCTTCGCGCTCCGCAGCTTCACATTTTCTTCTCTCAAAATCTTCGCCTCCAAAATTAACTTTTGCAAAATCTCTTCCACGCGGTCCAGCCGGTCCATCTTGTGTTCGTTTGCCCGCAGCTGCTGCGCCACTGGCGCAGCGCCGCCTCCCCGCTGCTGCTGCTGCTGCTGCTGCTGCTGCTGCCGGTTGCTGCCTGCGGCTTGGGCTGCGTGAAAGGCATTTCTGAAGGTCATCGGAGAGTCCGGGGGCTCTTCTGTGGGCCCTTCGAACTGGTCCCTGCAGCCGGGCCTGAAGGAAGGCAAGCCGCTGTCCACTGCAGCAGCAGCATCTGCTGCTGCTGCTGCTGCTGCTGCTGCTGAGGGCTCGACGAACTCATGCACCGACTCGAGAGACAGAGAGGAGCCGCGGCAGCTCTGCACTGCAGAGGCGAAGCCCGAGGGGCTGTGGGGGTGAGGCCTGCCCTCGTAGGGACGCCACCAGGAGTGCACTGGCGGGTCCATTTCGGGGGCCGGAAGTAAATTCAAAAACAAGTTTTGGAGTTCTTAAAGCATTTTAAAATGCATTTTGTTCTCTTCATCATCGGCAGCTGCAGTGGCGTCGCTCGCAGACGCCGCAGGCTCCTGTGTTCAAGTTTCCCGGGAGTGCCGCTGGCGGCGGGGTGGAAGCCGCACCGACACGGGCTTGATCCCTCTGATCTGAGGCTTAAAAGGGATTTACTCTTCAAAAAATGCAAAATAAAATAGTTTTGGCGAGACTGCAGCCGCAGATTCGCCGCTGATCGCGCGAACTGCGCGTACACTGCAAGGGCTCACCCGCCGCCACCCGAAACGGCGGGCGATCATGGGCGATCTTCTTCGGGAAACTGCGGAGTTGGTGAACAATAATAAATAATGAAAACAGTTGAACTCATTTGCTGCAGAATTCAATTATTCCGCAGACATGCAGTGTACGAAAAGACCCACAGCCAGCGGACGCCCGCTGGTCTGCCGCAGTCCCGGTCGCTTTCCGCCCTGGCCAGTTCAGGAGGCGCTGAGAATCTCCGCAGCTTTACATATTTTTCTTTTTGTTTATTTTCAATTTACAATAATATCTTCCTTTAATTGCTCCTTTATTTCGTGGCTTTGCCCCTCGTAGCGGTTGGCCCGCAGGTGTTTCGGCGCTGGTCAACAGCGACGACGAAGGCGGCACTCGGCGCTCAGATCTGACGGAAAACAAACAATAATGTTGAACTGAATTATATTTATTTACTTTGTTTTGCAATTTCATTATAACTACACTTCTTCTTTCGAGACTGTCTTGCAGCGTCTTCAGACAGAGTCCGTTTGGGGCATTCGGCTTGACGCGTTAGCTGCCTTCCACGCGCCGCGTTCTTCTTCGGTCACTTCACTTAATCAGTTTCATTTAATTTATCTCATTATTTGATTTCATTTATATAATTTTATTTATTTTAAAAAGCATAGAGCTGTTACACGCAGCCTAGCTCGACGAACTTGCCACCCACCCGGAGCCTTCGGCAGAAGTTCGTGTCTTCACTCCGTGCTGCTGCTGCTGCTGCTGCTGCTGCTGCTGCGGGCTTTATTTGCTGCCATATACCTCATTAAAGACTCACAGGGAGGAAAAGACAAATCGTTTAAATAAATCAAAATGCTGAAATGTTCGTAAGTGTCCCTCGCCAGGAGTGCTGGTGTCTGATGCAGATCTGTGCATGCAGCAGCAGCAGCAGCAGCAGCAAAGCAAGTGCTGCATGCAGAATAAATGCCATTTAATTGATGAATCATCTATTAAAGAAGCAGCAAATGCACAAGAAGTGCAGCCGCAAAAGCCTTTTTGAAAGTTCAATTCAAATTGCTGAAGACAAAAGAGAAAAGCTGCAGCTTTTGTTTTTATTTTCAAACTTGAATTCAATTTGCTGTTTGCTGCAGAGAAAAAGAAACAGCTGCAGCTTTCTGTTTTCTTTTGCTGCTGCAGCGGCTGAGTGGGCTAAAGCGCATGCATAAGAAGTATTTCTTTCGCTCCATTCTCTTCTTCAATTTTATTAAAAGACCATTTATTTTAATTGCCACTTCTTCTTTAATTCATTTAAAAGGATAATTTGTCTTAAATGCAATCAAGCTGCAGCAAAATGAAGCAGCGATTCACACGATGAGACGCAGCAGCAGCAGCAGCAGCAGCGAGCGAGTCCGCAGCAGTCGCACGCCCTTCAAAAGTGAAAACATAAAACACAAAGAGGGAAATAAGAAATAAATTAAAATAAAACAGCTGAAAGAAGCAGCAAAAACAAATAAGATGAATCAGCATTTATTGATTTCTGCATACAAGAGCTTTTCGGTTGATTTTGGAAAAAGAGAAAAAGCCTTTCCGCTGATTTTGCACAAAGAAAAAAAAACACAAGACCGAATTTGGGGAATATTAAAGAGTTGAAAGAGTTCGGGGCGAAGAGGGGGAGGGAAAAGTCTGCGCATGCAGCACATCAGAAAAGTTGAATTTGAGCGAAATGAGCTGCTTTTGAGCCTGAAAGAAAGGAAACAGGAAATAAATGAAGACAATAATGATCAGAGAATCACCAGATTAAAAAATAATTAAAAGAAAATGCTTAAAAATGTTCAAAAATGGAATAAAACAGATACACCTTGCGAGCTGAAGTGCATATTTGCTGCTTTTGCTGCAGATCTGGAGTTTCTGCCGCAGAAAATATTAATCATATTTGTTGTTGTCTTCCATTGTTTAAATTTCAAATTCTAGAATTAGAAAACTGCAGCAAATGTGTTCTGCAGCAGAAATGCAAGTGCGGCTTTCTCTGCTGCGTCTTTCCCTTCAAGGCATTTGACTCCGCTGTCGGACGCCGTTGTTCTTGAGCATTTCTGGAATACTTTTGGCTCCAGATTATTATTATTACTATTATTATTATTACTTTTGTTAGAGCCGAGTAGCCCTTACCAAATTCTCTGGGGGGCCACCGCAGCTTTCCGCCGCAGCAGCCATTTGCTGCTGCAGCAGAACTGCGTGGCCGCTGGCAGGAAGCTGCTGCTCCTAGGACTTGCAAGGTTTATTAATAAGTCTTTCTTTGTCTGCCAGTACAAAAGGCCAGAGCCCGTTGGCTTTCCTCTTAGGCTTTTCGTGCAACTTTGCCGAAACCAGCAGCAGGAGTTTGCTGTTCAAAATAGCCTCTGTGCAGTTCTTGCTGCCTTTATTTTGTATTTCATGTTTTCATGAAGAAAAGCCGATTGTGAAACTCATGAAGAAATGTAACGAGGAGTAAAAGCTATCAGTCTTGGGTTTCCTTTCACATTCATGTTTCCCACTGTTGCATCTATGCAGCCCAGCGTTCGCTTTCCATTCTTTTCCATTTCTTTTAGGAAGCAACTCGAGAATTAAACTGCTGAAGAAAAAGTCATTTATGTTTTTAAATTAGAAAATAGGCAGAACACCTCAGAAACGCTTCTGCCTCGGCTGATCTGCATCTACTTCAACTGTGTCTTCGGGGGCTGCAGTACCTCTTGTTTCATCTTTAAGGGTTTCAGCTCCAGCCCCTTTTCACAGAAGTGAAGAATACGAAATAAAGGCAGCAAAAATTTAAGATAGGCTGCTTTGAAGCAGCAGCTCGTGCTGCTGCTGCACAATGCAGTATGGAAGCGAAGCTCTGCATTTGCAAGAGTCCTTGGGCTCTTTGAAATACAAAACTCAGAAGTTTCGGAGTTTTATTTGAAATAAAAAGCTTAAAAGTGTCAGAGTTTTATTTATTCCAGCTCCTCCACTGGGCTATTCTTCTCTTTCTGATTGGAAACAAGAGCTTTCTGCTGCATGTCTGTTCTTGTGGCGGTAATCTGTTCGGGCTTTTCCAGCAGTGCAAAGCTGCAGCCAACTGGCCTTCATATTTTGCAAAAGATAATGCAGGGGAGGCCAGTTGCTGGCGAAACCACAAGTAGATCAGCTGAAGTTGAAGTGCTGCACTTCACGAGGAAACTGTTCAGAATCCAGCGGAATTCACCGCGAACTTCAGCTGCAGCAGTCTCTTTTGAATATTCAAAAGGAGGAGATTTGTTATAGAGTCAAACAAGCTAAACTTGGGGGGAAACTGCAGCAGCTCCCTACTGTGGAAAGAAACCCAGTGGATGCCTGTGTGCATGAGGTGCCTGCACCACATCCAACGCAGCCCAAGCTACTGTCTCGCCAAATTCTTAAATAAAAAAGCCAATACAAATTAATAATAATTAAATTCCTTTTGAAACTGGAAGCTTCAATCCCGTCTTGCCGGCTGGCTGTAGTTGTGCAAGTGCTACCTGCTCGTTCTGTTCTCGCGGCGAACGTCCGCGCTACTTCAAGAAGGCAAAATACAACTCCGTTTATTTTTAATAATTAAATATTTGAAAAGTGGACAACTGTCTAACGAGAACCCGCGCGAACGCGATGCCATGCACTGCAAGCAAGTGCGGCTGACAGTACTCGGCTCAAGATCTCAGGGATTGTTAATTAGGAGAGTCTGGAACTGCCGAAGCGCTTGTCCGCACTGCGAATATATGATTGTATTTGCATTTGGAATGCTCGAATTGAAGTGGTTTCGCTTTGGAAATGCAGCTGTAGGCGTTGCTCACGGGATGGCACCCGGCATTCCGCCTGCCTGCAGCGCTCGAAGCTTCTTCGCAGTCGGTTGCAGTCCGGAGCGTTTTCGAGGCTTTTAGCAGTTTATAAATAAGCAGTCAAATATTAAACTGCCGGAAGAAAGAAAGGAAAGGCTGTCTGTGGAGTCGTGGTCTTAGGCGCCGGGCCCCCCACGCGGCTGCTGCGGCGTTCCAGTTGCCTTGTGGTCGGATGTCGATCTGCGGCTTAGACGGGGTCTACGTTCAATGAATTTGCAAAATGGGCAATTTAAATAGATGAAGAGTTACTTTGGTTCGCTGGTTTCGTCTCGAAGAAAGAAAGCCGAGAAGCTTTCGCGTTGGGCATCCGGGGCAGGACGTTGCGAAGCGAAAGGCGAGCACGCGAGCTGGGCGCTTTGCTGCTTCCGCGTGCAGCAGGCGGTCAGAATTTTCAAGCCCTTGACTAAAAAAGGGTTTTCGTTTTTGGATTCCGGATTTGTGAGGCGGTTGGAGGAGATTTGCAGGGCGACCGGGCGTTCGCATGCAGGAGTGGTCCGGGAGGTTTCGGGAGCTCGGCGAAAAGGCAGCAGCGGTTTCCCGTTGATCCCGCGGCTTCGCTGCTTCTCCGCTTTTTAGGGCGCATTAGGAGGAAAGGAAACACCTGGGCGTCAGTGTTGCGGGTGTTTGGGCTGGCGCGCGCCGTTAGTTCGCGCCGCCGCTGCTGCTGCTGCTGCTGCTGCTGCGCTGCTGCTGCGTGCGGCGAGCGAAGAGGCTCCAGGCGTGGCAGCAGCCGGCGCTATGGATCGAAGCTGAATTTGGAAAGAGGGAGGGCGCAGTTCTCGGAAAGAGGAGAAGCTGCAGGCGCAGCAGCAGGACGCCTCTGCCGCCGCCGCCGCCGCCGCTGCTGCTGCTGCTGCTGCTGCTGAGATGGCGTCGCAGTCGAGTCTGCAGGAGATCGGGGAGGCGACGGACGCGGTGTTCGCGAGCCTGCACCTGCGTCCCTTTCTGCTGCGGCTGCCGCTGCCCGCGGGCGAAGCAGCAGCAACAATCCGCGGCATTTGCGAAAAAGTCACCAAGAACAAGTCCGCCTCCCACACGCGTTCGAACCCCCTCGACGCCGCCACGGAGCAGCCCGACGCTGCGCGCGCGGAGCAGCAGGTCGAGGGGCTTCGCCAGATGCTCTCGAGCCAGAGCGTGGCGGGCTTCGTTCTCGTGCTCGTCGAGGCCCCCCAGGGGCCCCTGGGGGGCCCCCAGGGGCCCCTCAAGGGCCCCCAGGGGCCCCACTACTGCCCCGTCGCCGGCGGCATCGTCGAGGTCGTCGACCCCGTCGAGCGCTCCGTACGCGCCATCTGGTGAGAAACAGCTTCCTGCTGCTGCTGCGGATAAGGGTGCGGGTGCTGCTGCGGATGACCCCCACTGCAGCAGCAGCTGCAGCGCCTGCGGCTCCCCCTGCGCGGCACAGCCGCCGGGGCTGCACCAGCAGCGCCTGCTGCAGCTGGTCAGAGCCGGGAGCGCTTCCGCACCTGCTGCTGCTGCCGCTGCTGCTGCTGCTGTGCTGTGATTGCGCGAGCTTGTGCTGCTGCTGCGGGCGGGTGGGGCAGGTGCCGGCGCTCGCTGCCCGCGGAGGTGTCGGAGGTGATAATGCGGACTCTGTCTCTGCGGCTGTTTGCCTACGGGTTCGCGTCGAGCCAGCAAATGGTGCCGAGCTCTTTGAACAAAGACTCTCTGTCGCCTTCGAAGACCCCCGTGGCCAACCGCCTCATCAGCTGCACGCAAGAAAGCATGTTTTTGTTTCCTCGAGACGCCACGGCGTTCATGAAGACGCAGCTTTGCATGTCCAGACACTGGGAAACGCCGCTCGACGGCGGCAGCCACATCGACCACCCCAAGGCGCCGTAGGCCAATGCGACCCGCGATCCGCTCGAATCTTTGCTCCCATTTGCTTTAGTTTGCATTTTAAACTTTGTTTGCAAATGTCAGTGCGTTTTCGCCGGCCCGGAGGCGAGATTCCGCGGCCTGCTGAGCCGCCGCTGTGCGCTGCGTGTGCTGCCTGCTGCGTTCCGCAGCTGCCGCTGCAGCAGCGTGCGAAACGTCGCGGGCGCGTGGCAATTTTCAGGAATCAGTTTGTCCCGCTTCGTGAATTACTGGCGGAACCACGGGCGAGTGGCGCTGCTCGAGGTGCCCAGCTCGGCGCTGGGCTACTTCGCGCTGCACGACAGGCCGGGCCAGGGACTTGAGAGCGGCGCCAAGCGCCAGCGCCGGCGCGCCGCGGAGGCCGTCAAGACGGAGGAGGCCCCGCGGACTCCGCCGCAGGGCGGGGCCGCTGGCGCGGCCGCAGCCAAGGAGCTGCAGCAGCAGCAGCTGCAGCAGCAGCCCGCCTCCGAGGCCGGCGAAGTCATTGCAGCTTCCTCGCGGCGCGGGCTGCGCCGCGAGTGCTCCATCCCCCCTCTGAGCCACCACGGCGGCGCGCAGCGAAGGCAGGCCAAGGCCGCGAGGATGGGCGCCGCCGCGGGACCCCCAGCCAGGGGGGCCCCCCGGCCCGCAGAGGGGGCCCCCCCACCAGCCGGCCAGCAGCAGCTGCCGCGGCACAGACAGCCCGCGCTGCCCTCGCGACCCACGGCGCGAGCCAACGGCCCCAAGGGCCTGCGCTGTGCAGGCGTGGCGACAGACAATTTACGGGCGCGGCGGACGCGGTAGTGCGCGCGAAGAAGAATGGGGAGTGCTTGAGCTGCTCGTTTTTTGTGCATCCACATAGTGCGCAGGCCGCTGATGCAGCTGCGCATTCGCTGCGTTTAACCCTGGGCAGTCCCACTTAGTTTGGCAAGAGCTTTCCATCTGCTGCACCCTGCTAGTTGCGAGGTTCTCCCTCTCGTGGCGCCGAGGTCTGTGTCACCGACTCACCAAAGTGGGAGACTGCGATACCCGACTGTATTGCGTTTGATCAACCGAGGCAACACACGATCTGAAACGTCGCACCACCGCTGCAGTGTCAGATGCTTCCCAAGTGCTCTTCCCCTGCCTGCACTTTTTAATCCAGTGCGGTGCAACCGATTTATAATTTGCACAGAACTGGCGCCTGAGGGTGCGCTTTAGAAAGCAGTGCATTTGACTGCTAGATCTTTTAGCATTTAACTCTCTACTGAGCCGTGATTCTCGCTGAGGTGCGTCCGTGGGGGGTGGGGCACTGGAGACGCAGCTGCAGCAGGTATTGCCTTTAGCGCCTTTGAAAACGTACGCACGTGTCCCATCTTGCAGATTAGCTGCAAAATTGGGCAGGGCTAGACGCTAAGTGAAGCAGCACCACCCCACATGCTAGAGGGAAACGGAGCCATCCGCTGCGAGAATTCTATTGAAACAGCCGTATACCTCAGAAAAAGTTGAGTTGCAGCTTTTCTCAGTGGTAAAAGAAGCTATATGGCTGGGTGAGATGTCGCATTCCCATGAATGCACTACGTGAATTGGTGGTCGAGAAGCAAGCGACAATACAAAATGCCGTGCAAATCTGGGTTACTGATCGCTAACCTAAGGTGGGCGAAGTACAGCTGACAAGCTTACGAGCTTAGCGATTTCGTCTAAGTTATTGAGTGGGGTGAATGAAAGGACGTGAATTCTAATGTGAGCGGTTTCGAATGTGTCAGTGAAAAAGATGAATCAAAGGGGTTAAGAAAGCGAATCAAAAGTAGCGCGAAAGGATTTCTGTGGATCCTGGGGAGTTTCATCTTGGCGACGGGGGAAACTTCATTTTTAAATGAAATGAAAGAACATCGTGACTTCCTTTTGCTCCGGCCGGTCCGTTGCGTTGGCTGAATTTGAAATGACGAAGACAGCGCGGGCAGATCTCGTCCTCGGTCTGTACACCGCAGACCGTACAGCGCCGGTTGAACGCCGTTCACTTTTCCTTTTCTGCTTTTCCGCGCTGCTATGATGAAAGGATACCGCACTGTCGCAATCTAACAGAGCTTTTAACTGACAAGACGAACCCACTTGCTTCGCGCCGACATGACCGGCGAACTGGACCCTCGGTTTCTGCGGAGTTTCCGCTCCACGTGGGAAGACACGCCGTCGTCGCATGCAGTTCCGCAGGCGGCTTTGACGGCGCTGGGTCTCACGCGCGGCGACTTCCTCGATGTGAAAGCCTGGATCTTTTTGGTGGCCCGAAAGCTGCAGTTCGTAAACGGGGAACGCGCAGCATTCAAGGTGAGTTCGTGCGCCTGAACTTGGCTGCTTCGACTCTGCGCACAACTGCCTCTTCAGGCCTGCGAGGCTCTCGCGGCGCTCTTCGGCGACCCGCGCTGCTTCGCAATCGTCCAAGATGCACTGGCAACGGTGCCCAAGGAAGACGTCCCCCAAGTCTTGGCGAGTTGCTGCCTCAAACTCACTGCGCAGGTACGCGTCGAAAGCTGCAGCCCTCCTTCGCTGGCACCACTGAAGCTTAGGAGTGTTGGCGCTTCAGTTTGAGTCCCAGAGCAACGAAGCGGACCACGAGGACTTCCTAGTGGGTCCAACTTTAGCCTTCGCCACTCTCAACCAGCTGCACCGACTCTGCGCGGCCAAAACAGAAAATGATGAATCTCGAACACACCTGCGCGCCGCAGATGCTAGCCTGGCTGGAAACTGCAGTGTTCGCGTGCCTGAGCTCTACTGAAGACTTCTCGTTTAGCGTACGGCCCCACCGCTATACTCCGTTTTAGAACCTTTGACCTCATGTGCTCAGCATTTACAGAGAGCCACTGCTCTGGATATACTGGACTTCCTTCATATTGCTGCTTTCGAATATTTGACGAAGCAGCTCTTCAACGTTCGTGAAGAGCTGCTGCTTGACCGAGAAACTTGCGGTCGCCTCCTTGCTTTTTTGCACTGCAACAGCTTGATTGACTGCAGTAAGAAACTGCAGCGCCAGTCGCCTGAACAACAACGTGTTTACAGCCCATTCCCAAACAGGGCTCCTCGCTCTCTCCGTATTCATCTTTTCGTACAGCCGTCAGCACATCATGCTGAGAGCAGCTCTACGAGAGATACTCATATCTTTGCTGGGACCAGACATAATCAGCCTCGTAAGAAGCCCTCGGCCATCTTGGTTTCCCACCTAAACTCAATATTAGACGGCGCACAGGCTGAACCTATTTTAGCAGCTTTGAAGCCTCGGCTGCTTGATGACATTAATGATCCACGACTTGCATTGCGGGCATACTTAGTGGTAAGTCCATACATCGTTATCACGCATTACCGCAAAATTCCATACAAGCAATTCAGGGTATACACGGGCGCAACAGCGAGTCCTCCATGAGCAAGATACAGGCCCATTTGGACTTCATTTCCTAGACCTTCTCTTCTTACGTTCTGCTATTCCCAACCACCTCCACAGTCAAGATGGACTGGGTGGGTATCAATCTGAGTGAAGGTCACACTTCGAGCATTGATAGCCTCTGAATCACCGTCAGAGGTTCCTATAGTGATTGTGTCGGTATTACTAGCTAAAAGCCGCACTCATGTGGATCTCGGCTGCAAAAAGTGCAGCCTCAAAGCTTGCCACAAAATTGCACACAATGCTCTCCTAAGAGCGTAAAAAGAATCTTTGTAATGATTTTTGTATCTCAAAACTCTTTTATAAGCGCTGCTGGTTCCTTGCCATGCAAGGAGCTGCTACTCGTGTCGGCAAATTTGTCTTTCATACACAAAAGAGACAAGTGCTCGACTCTTAGACACTCCCTTAAAATGGGTCTGCCTATGAGTTGCTGTAGTTCTCAGACTTTTCCTAGCTGCCGTGCCATCATAAACTTCTCTTAGTAAGTGAAAACGGGATGAGGAGCATATTGATCGTGCCATGCGTGACTTCTGCAGTGGCATAGCTCATTCGGGAGGTCATTGGACCTATGGAACTTCTTTAAAGAAGTCTATTGCAGCTTCGCTTTCACAGTTTGAACTAGCGGGGAATATGTGCACTGCCAGCAGCGAAGCCATGATGAGCCTTGGCACCAGTCAAGGAGCGGAATAACTTATGCACTTCCATAATAAGAAGGCCGGGACTTGAGGAACGCGGAGCTCATCTGGCAAAGAGGCCGGAAAGTTCACTAGTCACTAGGCTTTTAGAATAAATTTGTATGTTCTTGGTGTGTGGCTTCTGGCGGTGAACTCTGCTTGTATCAGAGTTACACACATTAGGAACCCAGTAGATCCAGAATTCATCTTTTCCTCAAACGCGTTCACTTTCAAGGTAGCTAGAGACTGACTGAGATTGTGGCTCACTGATCTTACCAAGGGAGCGAAGGGCACGCAGTAACACAGAGCTCTTTTTCTTGGGCTTCTCGAACAGAAAAAATAAGCGCAATATCTGGTCCTCGCAGGAAAAAGGCTATATTTGCTATTTTCAACCATTTATTCAACGTCATCAAGTAGGCGAAAATTGCGTGAACGTGAAACCGACGTAGTAGGCTCGCATCATAGTTTTGACAGCCGCCACATGCAACTGGAAAAATTGCAGAGTTGGGGCCAAAATTCGCTCTATTCAGGAATGGTTTATCCGTTTTTGAGTAATAATTAATTAAGTGAGGCTGGAGCCTCGTGTTTTTTGGTGGAAGTTCGCGGTGACTCGAAGAGACGGCACCGGTGGTTGTTTCGATATTTGTGTTAGCATTCGTTGTCCCTTCAGCTATTCCCCTAGTTCCTTGATATTAAATGACCCGAAATAGAGTCTACTAATGCTCCGGACTGTTTTTCTGAAGCTCTACGGGGAGCGCATGTGTTTTTCTCCTAGAATACCCCACTCCGCTGGAGATCATAGTACGAAAAAACACGAGTTTGCTTTTATTGACGCAATGCGAATTCGACAGCACCAGAACATGCGGCCATTTTGAGTCCGATTCAAGGTTTCGTGTGAATTTCTGCTGAATGGGATGGCTTCTACAATTGCCTAAGAGGCGTCATCCTCGACTCTTTTCAATACTTGAGGGGCCACGACATGTGGATTTACGGAGTAACTTCGTCATTGGATGCCTTCCGAGGTGGACTACGCTGGTCCGGCTTGTAGCTAAGACCAAGATTTTCTCAAAAGGTAAGAATCCCGAAGTTTTTTGAGCTTTGGTCGTTAGCGCCATTGTCAAGAAGCGAACAGTGCGTGTATGTATGAAGGAATTACTGCGCTAGGCGCCTCACTACTGTATCTCTTGAAAGGCTTCGTCTTTCCTGCTTTGTCTCTGCCCAGAAATGAGGACGGCAGTGTCACTGCAAATAGCCGAAAGTGTGTGTAACGATAATCCAGCAGCCGCTGGAAACACTCATCTTGCTGCTGCTCTGCTTGCTTTTTCCTCAAGGACAATTTGACGATGAAGAAAGGCGCGAATGAACTAAGTGCGCCGTCACCTTGTCGCATTGTCATTCACTCCGAGGAACCGCTTCACAATGGAGCAGAATCGGATAAGGGCCAAACGCAGACCCCACCGACAGCCAGCCATGTGCCTCCCAAGCAGGTCACGCCAGAAAATGAAAGAAATGACTCTTGCAGCAGCATCTGCATTGGGGGTGGACGCAGTGTCGCGAGAAACACCTGCAGCCCGAGCGGCAGCCCTTTGTCTAAAAAGGCAATGGAAAACATAGCGAGTTCTGCAGTTCCTAGAGGGTGAATCACATTAATATGCTCGGAAAAGCCTTTGGATGCTGGTTTCCTACAGCCATATGTGCAGGAGAATCACGATGAAGTCTGAATGCTCGATTTCTGTTTGTGCAAAGGCGCCACCGGTGCAGATTGGCATGAGCACAAATTGCCTTTTTTGCAACTCTGCAGGTACTTGAAGTATTGGGCTTCACGTGCTGGACAGGATGCTGCAGATATCCCTGAATGCGAGGAATTTGAATTGGCGTACTCGAGAAGAGCACAGAGCCTTTTTCCGTTCCGTTCAACGACAACCGAGTGGACAGTGAACATGGCGGGAGGTGCGCCATTCTTGGAATCTGCATTTTCCATCCCTTTAGGGGTTTTCTTACTTGTGAAATACTTAGAATACCTTGTGAGAGCTCATCGGGGCCTCATCAGTGCAATGTCGAAATTGTCGGTCTGTGCAGGCTTTGTCGTGCTTCTCATGCCATGGGGGCCGTTCATGATGCTAGTTGGATTTTTCTTTGGAGGTATCCTTGGCTTTGGCTTGGCAATGGCGAACGACTTGTGTCGCCTACGGAGAAAGACATCTGCAGCGGCGCAGCAGAAGGTGCGGCAGATCAGTCATCGTTCTGCTAGAGCTGTGAAGCCTCAAGGTCTCTTTACACAGAGAACAGACCAGCCACCAGTGTGTCGACTCTGACTTTCCCTTGCGTGACTTTGCAGAAAAAAATATACCATTTGGTTCGCTGGGCCGGCTACCACTTCGCCAGCAGCAACGCGCAGCTGCAACTCATTTTCAAGGTCGTCATGGAATATGAAGTAGGAGCCACTAGAAACAGCAAATAATCAGTTTAGGCGTCTCTAACAGCTCTACAGACAAATACTGATGCATTGCATTGCTTATGCCCTACAGAGGTGCTTCTGCGGGCGCCACGCGAATATGGAAGGATTTCTCTGTTGCTTCCTCTGTAAATTGCGCATTCGCTTTGATAACGAAAAGATCATCCATTTGAAGGGAAAATAGTGTTTTTATATACTTATTTTAACTCCCTCTGTGCGTTGCGCTAACGGCTGACATGAAGCAGTGCAACTCTTGACCATATTCCAAAGTGCCTTCTCTGTACTGCGCTTTTTCAAGGTGTTGGCTCGCTTAGGGGACATCTCTAAAACTGCTCGGGCGCAACTGAGACTTCTCTATTCGTTTTTGTGAGCTCATCAGGAATGATCTGCCTTGGCTGAGGCACAGAGAGGACACCAGAATGGGTTCTTCTGCTCAGGATAACTTTGCAACTTTACAGCAGCAGAGCAGACTCGTTAAACACAGTTCATGTCAAGTGTATCGGTGGTCACTGCGCTTACTAAGTTCAGATGACTGAAGTAACCCAAGACAGATGTCCCATGTTTGTACGAGTGCCGCAGGAGCCGTGATGATGTTGGGCACTGCCTGTGGCTTTACCTCGACTACTTTGACGCCCACTTTGAACAAATGACAAGAAACGAAATCTACATGTGTGCTCTTGTCTGTTACGTCTGCACACAATGTGCAGCGAGTCTAAGGTGAAGCGAACCACGACAAACATCAGAGAATGCCTCAGCTGCACAGGCCCGCAGCAGCGTCGCAGGAGTCTTAGACAAAAAGTGCTGTATTTCTTGTGAAGTAGCACAGTGTGATTCAAGGCAAATTCATGCACGATACATGGACATCCACGGAACTTAATTCACCTCAATCCATTATTGTAAAGGCATCAAATTCTTCTGAGTTATATCTTACTCCGATTCGGTGTGCATGCGTAAATTTGATAAAACGGGATAATAATTATTTGCTTTGTTGTGCGGGGCAGGAAGAGACGAAATCATCCTGTGTTGGAGCGTATGATCGGCATGTTGAACGACCCCGACATTCAAAAGATATTTCAAAGGGCGAAAACGCCAAACTCAAGACAGGCGAGAATCGTAAGCTGGGTAATAAAGTGTTAAGATGATGCATATGCGCGTTTCGCTGTGAGATGCGGCCCGTGCGCTCTGCCTTGGCAACTTGCGGTATTCTCGTTTCAGCAAGCAAAAGGTGCATTCACATCAGGGTTCGCTGCACTGGTGGTGCACTGTCTGTTGGGCTTCATCATCACACCAACAATGGTATTCGCATGTATTCTCATGTAAGCAGTGGCAGAGGCGCTAATGATAAAAGTGTTAAAGGCCTAGAGAATCCTCCGCTTGCTGCAGGACGAGAGAACGGAGCGCTGCCTTTTCTACGCCGATAACAGCCAAGGCGTGCAAACTTTTGTAATGAAAGGCGGCGATCTTCTGCAATGTGCGCAAACAGTAGGCAGTAGGACACAGTCGGTTTCTTACGGTTGCCCCTCTATTCACCATAAGGTGGAGTAGATCCACTTTTTCCTAAAGTGGCGCTGCCGTTAAACCTCCTGCATGCTCACGAATAATATGCGTTTTCAGCTTAGATTTGTCTTAGGGGAAAAGATGGGATTTTTTGTGACCTTTCCGGTCTGCGTAAAAGTGGTGGAAATGGATGCTTGAGGGGGCTGGAGAGTGTTGTCTTATCAGCGCTGCACAGGGACTGCACTGTGGGACGGAACGGCGATGCCTCTGAGGGCGGGTCTTTTACTGACGCCATTTCAGACAGCCATGTGGAAACTGATGGATCAAATGAGAAGGAAGAAAGGGAAAAAACTGGACAGGATACCCTTGCAGTAAACATTCAAATGCTGCTGAGCTCAGATATGCTCACAGTGGCATAGTTTATTCCATTCACTCACTAACACGATTGCCTCATCTTCCCTTAGGTCCCTACACTTCTTTTCAAACTGCGCAGCAACTATAAACAAAATGACAAAAGTTGGCCCAGGAGCCACGATAACTCAGCGCCTTCCTATTTCCAAGACCCCTCGCACTTCATCTCCGCAGTGAATCATATGTGTGAATGTGCTCCCCTGTGGCTGTGGGACTTAGGGGGAGTTGCGGCCTTTGGAGAATTTCAATGTAGCGCTCAGCCAGGGCTTTTCTGTAGAGCGAGCAGCGCCGTGGACAATTGAAGGGACGAATTCATCAGCGACGGCTTCGCCCACCAAACAGCTTACTGTTCCTCCGCCTTCTCCCATCAACAGGAAGCAGCAGCAACAGCTGCTGCCGCAGCAGCGACGAAAAGCCTCTTCCGCCCCCAGCGCGGCCAGGAGCAGCTCCAGAGCCTCGAGGCATCAGCAAGAAGACACGAACGCAGAGGCTACAAATGGTAGGGCTGTGAGGGAGTGAGGGTAGCTGACTGATATGTTTTCTTTTTCCATTTGCTGCACCCTTTGTCTTTGTCTCGACCGGGAACTGAATGTGGCTGTCCGCTCAGAAGAAGACGCTGTGATGAGACAAACTGTGCAAGAAGGCAAAGGGGAAGGTAGGAACAGGCTGGCCTAAAAGCAGAGGGATTTTGAGACTTTTCCAGCACCCTTCCACAAGAAAGGATTGCGCAGTAGGCAGCCTGGGTAGCAGGAAACCGGAGGCTTAATTAGCCATGTGTAGAGTTGCTAGGTGCGTGCGCATAGAAGCTCCGGCTCGTTTGTTTAAAAACTACGAAGATTTAATTAACTTTGACATCACGCTGAAGCATCAGACTCCAATGTAAGCCACTGCATTTCCCTTAAGTTGCGGCCGTTTTCTGAATTTTGCACCTCGAGATTCGTGGATAGCTCACTACTGCGGGTGCCAGTCATTCGAGGGTATTCGTCATAGATATTGGAAATCCAGACAAACTAGAGAGATAATTTGATTAATCGAAGCATTTAGTCCGCAAGTGTAGCGTAATAAGCAAGCGAATAACACATAAAACTGTGTTTCTGAGGTGCTTGTGCTCGTCGCAGCGCTCCGTATGAATTTCAGTTCTTGGAAGAACGAGAAAAGCACGATCCGAGTGATCCTTCTTGGGAGCAAACGGTCAACCAGCCGCTAATTAGTGTTTACAAATACATATCTCCGAATTCTCCTGTAGTTATAGTCAAGGCCTACGCAAAGTTCGATGGAATTCCTCTGGCTGTGCTCAGCCGGAACATCAGAGATGTCGAATGCAGGCTCAAGTGGTAGGCCTACACAGCCAGTAGCTAAGGGCTTTAAGCTCACCATATTTGAGAGGAAGGACATTTTCACCCTTGAACGCTCAATAATAAGTCTCAATAATAAGTCTCAAGCTCTTGCCTCCAAAGCTGAATTCATCAGTGCTCAAGCCGGTTGAGTTGCTGATGGTCGCTCAGGGACACAACATTTGCAGACTATCGCATCGTAGAAAATGATGTTGACGGCTGTGAAATGATATACTGCGTGATGAAGGCACCTTTTCCAATTTCAAATCGGGATTTTTTACAGGTGAGTCACCTCCTTTGTGCTGCAACACAGCGGTAGTTGCACGTGAATCTTACCCGTGTATAGGGTAGAAAAGCATCTATATCTATGAAAGCAAGTAGCATGTATCAGTACAAAGCTGCTACTTTTTCATCTGCATTGATATTGGTGCCCATTGCATTGAAATTCCAATTCCCAGCTGCAGACTGCGGTGTTTCGGGCGGTGAAACTAGCAGCAAAATAGATTGGCGAGTTAAGCGGTTGCTCAAGAGGGCAGAATTTCTTATTATAGCACCACTAGGACACGCGTACTGGTGGATGTCTTGCTGTGCTTACTTATTATCTATTTGCTGCAGTGGCGGCTGACGGTCGAAAAGCCTGAAGAAGGAGTCGTGAAGATGATGTTGAGGTGATACTGCACTCGATGGATTCGTTGAAATGGATCAACATTTTGTTTCAGACCACTCCTTGCTGCTCGGCTTAGCAGTGAGAGAGTTGAGGGTCCACATTTTTATTTTGAATTTTAGGGGTTTTTGGAGCTCCAATGTTATGGAATAGTTTTTCAGATTTTGGCTTGTTTTGCAGATCTGCTGACCATCCTTCGATTCCAGAGCAGTCAGGCTGCGTGCGCGCAGAAACTCTCATTTCTGGTTCGTCTTGATACCTTTTCCACTTTGGGCTGCCTGACATAGACCAGTTTATTGCAATAAATAAGTAGGAGGGATCTCACCTTGGTCCCTTGTGGAATCATAAGCTGTTGAAGAGAACTCAACAGCTTATTCTGTCAATATGTCCTTCTTGCTGTCTTCAGGCTACCTCATGCGCCAGAGCTCAAGCGACCCCAATTCTTCTTCGCTGTTTATTGTGGCGCAGACAGATGTGAAAGGATTACTTCCAAAGGTAAAAAGCGGCAGAGCTTTGGCCAATAAGCACTGCTAAAACTTATCTCTCTCTTCTCCTTGTATTGTGCTAAGCATGTGTGATAAGTGACGGCAGCCAGTGGGGCCTCCTGGCTGGTAGATCACAGGAAAGAGGTGCAGGTTTTGGGGCTTACTATAATTGCACGACGTGCACGAGCTCTGTGTACCGCATTGATACATGCATGCGTAATGATATCTGTATTATAAGGACTTACACAGCATTGGTGCATGCCTGTGCATATACGCGTACACCTTTCGCCTTCACGTATGCAGCTGGTGGCACTTAGTGGGTGAACAAAAGGCCTCTTTCTAGACTCTAAATAGGCGTGATGATGACTTAGCAACAATTGTACTTCTGCATGCGTTTCTGCAGTGGCTGGTGAACTCCACAGCCGCGAGAGCCCCCGTGAGCTGGGTGGACAACCTGCGCCGAGCATGCAAGAAGTACATGGAGGCCCTTCCCCAGGAGGGGCCCACTTGAGTGCGTTGCAGCTTCTTCGTTTCAAACTGCGTTTAGTGTCCTGAAAAGTGCTAAAAAGGGAACTCTCTTCACGCGAATTCCACGCAAAGAGGCCACGGCCAAGCTTCCGCCCACGGCGGCCCGCGGACTTCGAAATATAGCGACGGGCGGCAGACGCGGCTGAGAAGATATATTGTTTTGAGTCAGCCACTCGCCACTTTTTGATGTTCAGACGAATACTCTGAGGCCCCTGGGTGGACTGCCTTGAGCCCTGTAGCACAATAAAGCTGCGGCGAGACTACACGCCCTTAGAGTGCGGCCCCACTCGCCAGTTCAAACTGCATGCGCATGCAGACAGTGGGGAAGGCCTTAGACTGCAGAGAGCAACAGCCTACGAGTGAGGCCGTAGAGGGATCACGGGCAAAAGCACTTGAGCTTTTCTGCATTTTATTAATTCTCTCGTTTCTGCTTTTTGGGCGTTCTTCTTGCGAGGCCCCAAGTGTGCAGCGTGCAGACAGCCGAAACATCTTTATGTGAAAAGTGCTCGTGGGGGACTTCAGTTGGGCTTTTCTCTCTTTGCAAAGTGTCTGTACTCCCCAGAAACGCCCAGCCCCACCCCCATGTCTCTGCACCACGCTTAGGCCCTTTTGGGGGCAAGAGGGGAGGCCAAATCAACCCTTATGTTTTCTGGCTAGCTACAGCCTCCTAAGTGATTCGCTGTGAACAGTTTCATTACTATGCGCCTACACACCAGTTAATTCGACTGCATTACCACTGCTGCAGCTTATAATTAATTTATTTTGTTTCATTAGTTTGGAATCCATTACAAGCCCCGTGCAACACAATGCAGATAAGGGCTGCAGCGGCCCGCTGGGAGGCCGACGGCGTCTGTAGTAATCAGTAGCGGATGTTACAAAAGTGGCTACGAGTGAAACGTGAGTCCCCACCAAAGTGCCTAGTTCTTCGGGTGTACGTACAGAACGTACAGGCACTACACAGGATCTATTCTGCATCCCATATGCCAAAGACCGAAGCCACGTGTGCCAGCAAGGCGGCGACGCACGAGGCTTTCAATTTCAACAACAAAAAGGTGAGCAACATGAAAAACAAAACATTGCCCCCAAATGTACACAGCGCGAAGATCAGATACAGCAACATGCAGAAGTCCCCGCTGTACAGACGCCTGAACGCAGCCGCACCAAAACGCAGCAAAGACTTCGGAATCAGAAGACAGTGAACTGCAACACAAGAGTAAGAAAGATAAATTCAAGGACAAGAAAATCTCAGAATAAAACAAACAACATGCAACAGAAACAGCCACTGCCCGTGCGGCTGCTGCGTCTTATTGGGGGCTGAAGGGCTGGACAGAAGCCACCAAGACAGCGGCATTCAACTTGTTGAAAACAGTCCATTGAATAAAGAAAATTAACTGAACAGCGAAAAGAAAGAAAAGACCCGCAAATCAACTCTCTTGTTCTTCATCGAACAACTTACACCAGCGAAACCAGTGAGGCGAGGAATTCGTGGGCCTCCAGCTGCTCCAGCGGCAGAAAGCTCTGCAAAGAAAATAAAAGGTGCTACAAGGGTTTAGGGTTTAGGGTTTAGCGTTTGCCTCAGATGAAAAATTGAAATGAAAAGGTCCACAGAGGAGATCTCCATGCCGCTGTGTGCGACTGCGGCGCCGGCGCCGATTTACTACTGTGCGCTGGACCCGAAACCCTAAACCCTAAACCCTAAACTCTAAACCCTAAACCCTAAAAATAGACAGAAACACGCCAAGCCAGAAGGGACCATGAGAAGCATTGCAGATGAAATGCACAAGAATATAAAAGTGCAAAAACTTTGCATCATTAGATATTTGAAAGTTTCTGCACTATTTGCGGGAATTTTTGCGTATGTAGCTAATCAAATTCACATATTTTCGCATATTTCGTGGTGTCTTATGTCTGCAAATTCATATTTTGAAAGTTCAGAATTTGTTTTGTGAACAAATGCATGCACGATGAACTTCCGGTGTCCGTGTGTACGTACAGCTCCCCCAGAACAAGTTGCAGACATTCACGGCTCCACAGAAACACAGCAGAATAAAGTGGAAATATAAAATGAAATAGAACCAAACGCAAGAAGGCCTCATAAACGCTGCTAAATGTGCCACAGTTTGCTCCCAAGTGTCCCCTCACCGCCTTGACATGCAAAGTGATCCCCGGAAGATCCAAAAAGAACAAACAGTTCGTCAGCGCCAAAGCAGCCCTTGGAGAAACAAAAGGAGAGCCCGTCTGCGGGTTTTCCCCAGCGGAATCCAGTTGTCTCTCCTGGGCCGCACCCACCAGGG